GAGCAGGGAGCCCGATGTGGGGCTCGATCCCAGGACCCTGGGATCATGACCTGAGCCGAAGGCAGACGCTTAACGACTGAGCCACCCAGGCGCCCCCCAGCACCATTTTTTAAAGAGACCGTCTTTTCCCCATTGTATATTCTTGCCTCCTTTGTTGTAGATTAAGTGACCATATAAGCGTGTATTTATTTCTGGGGTCTCTATTCTGTTCCATTGATCTCTGTGTCTATTTTCTTGCCAGTACCACACTGTTTTGATTACTATAGCTTTGTTGTGTATCTTGAAACCTGGGATTGTGATGCCTCCCGCTTTGTTCTATTTTTTTTTAATTTTATTTTTTTTAAAGATTTTATTTATTTATCTGTCAGAGAGAGAGAGAAAGAGAGAGCACACAAGTAGAGGGAGAAGCAGGTTCCTGCTGAGTAAGGAGCCCAATGTGGGACTCGATCCCAGGACTCTGGGATCATGACCTGAGCGGAAGATAGATGCTTAACCAGTTGAGCCACCCAGGCGTCCCCAGCTCTGTTCTTCTTTCTCAAGATTGCTTTGGCTATTCAGGGTCCTCTGTGGTTCCATACAAATTTTACTATTATTGGTTCTAGTTCTGCGGAAAATGCTGTTGATATTTTGATAAGGATCACATTTAATCTGTACATTGCTTTGGGCTGCATGGACATTTTTTAGTAAACTCTAGGCCCAGTGTGGGGCTTGAACTCATGACCCTAAGATCAAGAGTCACATGCTCTACCAACTGAGGCAACCAGGCACCCCCATTTTAACAATATTAATTCTTCCAATCCATAAGCATGGAATATCTTTCCATTTTTAAAAATATTTAATTTATTTATTTGAGAGAGAGCGCGCGCCAGGGGCAGAGCAGAGGGGGAAGGAGAGGGACAAGCAGACTCAGTGCTGAGCACGGGGCCCCATGCAGGGCTTGATCTCATGAGCCTGAGATCAGGACCTGAGCTGAAACCAAGAGTTGGAAGCTTAACCGACTGAGCCAACTGAGTGCCCCCCACCTTTTTTGGGGGGGAATATCTTTCCATTTTGAGCAGGTGTGTTTGGAAGGGAACACTAAGGGTGTGGCCAAGCAAACATTTAATATCATCAGGGCTGTCACTCCCTGAGTGCGAGGGCAGGTGAGGGGGGAATGCAGATCCGGGTCTGGCGTCTGAGGGGTGGCCAGCGTGGGACCCGGGCATGAATGCCGGGCACAGCCACACATCGCAGGCTCTATTCCCTGCGCTCCTTGTGACACAGGATGAACAATCTCCATCTTCCTGCTCAGCTGGGCTGGAAGGGCGGAGAATAACAAGAGAGCTACAAACCCCTGAGTATCCTTTGGAAAAGTGCAGACCCAGGTAATAACTGGGGCTTATGCTCTTTGTTAAGAAGGGGGCTGGAGTGGAAGGTTGCAGCCTGTCACACTTGTGCTTCCCCTGGGGTTCTCAGCTAACAGTTAGTGACTACTTGCCACAGGCAGGAGAAGGAGCCAAGCATCTAATCCTTCCAACTATTCCATTGTCTGTAGGTAGGTAGACATCTATTATTATACCCATTTTACACACGGGGAAGCTGAGCCTCAGAGGGAAGAAGTGACTCATGCAAAGTCACACTATTAATAAGCACTGAATCTGGGTTTTGCACTTTGTCTGGCTTTGGAACGCGAGCTCTCCAATGCCATCTTATATCCAGGGTGGGATAGTAAAAATATTGGATGACTGGCATGGTAAGGACACTGGATAATGCAGACAGAGGTCTACCATAATCGCATCACATCAGTAGGTAACAGCTGGTGTCACTTCTCCCGAGCACCAGGCTCAATGCTCATTAAGCATTTCTTCTCCCCATGAATACCCTGCTGCCATGTCAGAGGTCAGAGGGCAAACCCAAGTTTGTTGGGGTGGGAGGGACCAATTGGTACAAACTTGTACCTTGTGAAAGAATCACGGAGCAGACTGCTAGTTGCTAATCCTAGTAGCCCTTCTTCTTTAGTATCACAATCCCGATTTTATTCAGGGTGGCTATGTGCTCAGCCAAAGGAATACATTGCCCAGCCTTCCCCACAGCTAGGTAAGAGCTTCTGGCCAATGAGATGCAACGGAGGGTATTGAGTGGAATTTAGAAGACTTAGAGAAGTCTCTAAGACTTAGAGAAACTAAGTGCACAGCAAGTTCAATGACATCTGCCTGACTCCAGAGCGCAGACCGCCTCCCACCCCCCCGCCCTGCCTCTAGTTGGTAAGTTCTTGATGTCACTTCACGGACAGCCTGTGGCCCACTAAGACCATCAGGCACTCTTCGTAGGCACTGAAGCCAAGCTCCTTGTTCCCCCCTTCTACTGGAGTTCGACTTTGATTCTATATGTTGTAATTTACACTTAGCTTTGTTAAATCTCACATGCCTTAAAAATCTGTGGCAAGGAAAGATAAAGTAGAATAAAGAGGGATTAACGTCAAAGAGCAGAGGATTAT